ATAGAAAGTAGTGACAGCCAAAGTTCTGAAAATACTTAAAAATTACCAAAAATGTTAAGTTAGTTAAAAATGTAGGGAGCATAAATAAATAAATAAGAAATTTAACCCTTCAATGCCCTGTTTCCCCTTAAGTATTCACACACTAAACAAAAACAATGGGTCACTAGAGAACAAAAATCTTATAAGTGATGTTTGCTGTGACTTGTAGGCAACAAGGCACTTTACCATCAAGTCTCATCACAAAGTATAGGGCCACAGAGACTTTGGTAAGGGCTACCTACACAGATGACAAATATACAACTGACTTGTAACACAGCTCATTTAATGGTTTAGATACAAAGGCATTTCGTAGTTAACAAGTTCTAGACAGTAGTTGATAGACTTGTATTAGGAGTACACAAGTTAACGCTGGGTAGTCTATCATGATCTGTATGTTGTATGTCAACATACATATCTAAAGTAGCCTGACCTACAGTATGTGAGTTTATAGACTATTGCTGTATGTACAACATACTGTGTATGATGATGCTACACTAGCAGCAACAGATTGACCTACAACAGGCTGACCTACAGAATCAATCGTATGTGAGTTTGTAGACCTTTGTATGTACAACATACAGTGTATGATGATGATGCTGAAGGCTAACCTCTGAATGCTTATATACTATCATTGGTTCCAACTCTAGTCAAAACAACAAACCACACCACCAGTATACATCCACACATAATATACAACAGCAGATGAGGCAAGACAGACCCTAAGATAAAATACAATAAGATGTGAGGCAAGACAGACCCTAAGATAAAATACAATAAGATGTGAGGCAAGACAGACCCTTAGATAAAATACAATAAGATGTGAGGCAAGACAGACCCTAAGATAAAATACAATAAGATGTGAAGCAAGACAGACCATGACTGTATGGACAAAAAAATTTCATGTGCTTATCAGTGAGTATTTTCTATTTAATTACAGATTTATTTAAATACACATACAGCTTTTAGGGAGAATTTGTGTAATCTTGTATAGTTACCCAGCATTGTTTTCATTAACTTCAAGGGTTAAACAAGCTGAGCTTACTTCAATAGTGAGGCTTGGTAAACACTTTGTCTGTACATGAGTTGCTTTAGCACAGGTAAGGCATGAGGAAATATTCTAGTTAGACCAATAGACTAATAGACCAGTCGAGAAATGTTAAGACAATAAATCTGAGAAATAAATATAAGAAGTTTAGCAAGTAAGAAATAACTTATCAAAAATAGGCTGACCATACAAGAAAAAAAAAGCACAAAGCAAAAAACCTCTCTTCAAAATAATAACAGAGAAGCCAGAAATAGCTTGTTAAATCCTAATGGTTCATTATACACCAGTACTGGCCAGTTGATAGCAGTTAAAAACATTATTGATAGAGCAAAGGATAATGAAGAAAATACAACCTACACACATCATTGTTATATATGTTATGCGGTGTAAACAACCTGGCTATAGGGACATCCATATAATACATACAGCTGGAAGGTGGGGACTGTTCCATGGGGGGTGGGGAGCTGTCCAGCTGGTGGGAAACTGCCCAGAAGGTGGAGGGGGGGGGGGGGCGGGACCACACAGTTCCACAGTACACTTATAAGTGAAGGGAGGTATTAATGTACTGATTTACCTTGCATTAACTTATCTTGAAAATAAAAATGAAGGAAAAGATGTTTTGTTACACATTACTGAGGGGTGAGAGAAATTTCAGATCAAGGTTTGTGGGGGTAGGAGTTGATTTTTTTTTTGTTATCAGTGTGTCTACCAGAAGGGGTTAGAGTGTAAAATCTGATTAACTACCTGGATGTAGTTTATGGGTGTCCATCACACAAAGACATTGGAAAACATCAGCAATTATCTAAATAATCCTATCAGGATGATATCCAGCATCAGTTTAACTATCTTCTCAATAGGAATTCATTAAACAACCATTGTAACAACCATAGTTGTATGACCTTCAGTCACATCAACAGGACTCCTCAGTTAGACAAAAAAAACTCTAGTTCACCTCTAATGTTAACACAAATAAAATCCAAGGTAAATCAAGTCAAATGTCCACAGAAAAAATGTCCACAGGAAAAATGTATCACAACAATCATAAGAAAACAACAACAGAGCTTGTTAACATTTGTTCAGTAAAACATAGTTGCTACTTTTGGTTGCTCTAGTTCTTGCACATAAGACACTGTATGCTGCATTGCGATAGACAATTCAAATTAGTGCCACAGAATGATTTACAATAACCTTATACTTTGATTTAGTGTTCTAGACCTTATATACCAAACAGATTGCACATTCATATTCTTTTTATTTAATATCTATACATGAATATGGAAGTGAAGTGATTTTATTGGTTAAGGACAAAAGAAGACCAAACATTCAATGATGTACACAGTATAAAAGCTGATCCTAACCAAATGAACAGGTATAAAGATGTTCTCTAGCCATAGTAAAACCAAAGCGAGTTTAAAATGCATCTTCTCTAACCTAATGATCAGATGAGAATCGCTGCATCCTGGCCCCACTTAACATGAGCCAACTATAACACGATGAGCCAACTATAGCACTATGAGCCAACTATAGCACGATGAGCCAACTATAGCACTATGAGCCAACTATAGCACTATGAGCCAACTATAGCACTATGAGCCAACTATAGCACTATGAGCCAACTATAGCACTATGAGCCAACTATAGCACTATGAGCCAACTATAGCACTATGAGCCAACTATAGCACTATGAGCCAACTATAGCACTATGAGCCAACTATAGCACTATGAGCCAACTATAACACTATGAACCAAGAATAACAACAAACTGAGCCAACAATGACAACACAAGCCAGCAATAAGTCAGTGAAGTAGCTCAGAAGGGACGGGGGTGGGTGGTGACTATCAGCACTGTATATAAATATAACTATAAGAGCATCAAGAAATGACTGATCAATGACAGTTGACAGCGTGGACAGTAGAGTAGACCTGTCATGTTCAATAGATTATAAACAAAAAACTTTTGAAAGCTTCAAAGTCACCAAAGTTGTGAGCTCAACTACAAATGAACATTCTGTATAAATTACATATCATGCCATTTATGTATAATCATATTTTATAACAGAAATGTAGCCAGCAATACACAGATATGGGTAAACAACTTGACTACACAAAGTAAAATACGGCTAAATGAAAAGGCAAATATCACAAGACATACCACACTAGTTGTGCTAAAGTAACAAAACATTCACTAGGATAAAGCCTGTATCCTGTGTTAGCAGGGAATTAAAATAGTGCAGCACTTTGGTCAAGCCAACAAAGCAAGAAAACCAGCTCAAACGTTCTGTCGTTAAGTTTTAAATACAAGCCTACACTTTGTTTACTACTTTAAAATCCTAACATACAACAAAGCTGTGGTGCCAGTATACAAAGGGTTAATAGAATTTAACACATTAATTTTTCAAACAATGTTAGCACGTTTCAGATGGAAATTACTTCTATTAACTGTGGCGTTAAGTGCTAAAATTGTAACACTTGAGTCAGATTAAGCTTTGAGCTGGAAAAATTAATGAACTGTAGACTCAAACACAACAAGTAGTAAATGTATGACTATATGGTTAGATGTGGATTAAATAAGCTCGCAAGTGATGAGTTAAGGCTAAGTTGTTCCTATTAGTGATTACATTAACCAATGGTCCTAGCAACATGGCACTTCCTTATTCCATTTTTCTACAACCTTTCCCCAGGTGCTTGTTATATGATTTTTTTTTTAGATATCTGGTCTTCACAACAAATGCACTTCAAGAAGTGAACATATAAAAACTGTTTGTGATAGGAAAAAAAAAAGATTAAAAAAAAATGTACATTATTCACACCTTTCCCATGTATACCTAACTTACAACTGCATAGAAAATCCATGAAAATGTTGAAGCAATGTTGCGTTTGATGAGGATGTATGTTCTTTATAGACATTTGTTAGCTTGTAAGTAGAAATAAATAAAAATAGCATATCAAATTGGTAACTGAATGTATCAAAGAGAGATTTTACTTTTCCAACTGTTAAGCAATAATTTAATAATGGATCAAAAGAAAAAAATTGAATAGAAAAAGTAACTAGTATATTGTATACAAGCTAATCACCCTCACACCCTATGTATCAACCTGAGGCTAAAAAAAAATAATTACAAAGTGTAATGGGATAGAAAAACGTCTTCAGAGATCAGTAATTGAATCAATGGGAAGATAAGCCATGCAGGCAACACCCTGTAATTATCTGGAACTGAGAACTGAGGTAAACAAGTGCCTGAAATTCCCACAGTAACTTTCCCTACCTTGGGTTTCTGGGTGTTCAAGAAATAATGTTATCACCAACTAAAGCAGGTTTTATACTTCAAAAACTCAAACCTGATGTTTACTAATGTACAGTGTGAAGAATGCATACCAAAGATAGTGTATAATGTGTATAATGTGTTCAATTTGTATAAAAGTAATGCAGATGTATTAAACATACAACAAGTATTGAGTACACATGATAGCATCTATGTAACAAGTGTAGAAAACCTGCTATAGACAAGCACAAATGATTTACACTTTACACCTAACTTGATGCCCTCGACCCCAACTGCCCTCTCCACCCCTGCACACCACTGATTTGCATGTATTGTGTTTAATATTCTCCTCAACCCCAGCAGTAAAATTTTGTTAGCAATCCCTATAACCAGAAAGCGAACTGTTCTTAAGCCAGGTAATTATTTTCTGGCCTGCAGCACTTAAAGGGTTAAACTAAAATACTAATAAGTAAGGAAAATACATTTTAACTTGATTTTTAACTTACTCCTGGTTGACTTTTAACTCTAACATTAACTCACATTTCTAATGCTGACAGTCAGGAAAGAATGTTCTTCAAAGTCTTGAGAGATATCAAATGTGAAAGAAAAACATTTCTTTCTCTTAGTAAATTTATTGTAGCCACCAAATGTAATCCATGAAATCAATTGATCAGATGTTTCAGCACAAACCACACGTACATCTTGTATGTTTTGATTGTCACATGATGTCAACACAGGCCACCATTAAATCAAGTTCAACCACAAACCACACAACCCTGTTGGCTATGCACACCAACCATCAACAATGAAGTGAAATAAATTAAAATCCTCCTGTATTTGTACAATCAATTTCTCAGATCATGCAACAACAACACTAGCTGGTGAGTTCAACTCCACTTTCAGGAAATCACTTGTACTTGTATCCATATGAAAAATAAATTTGGCTAAACATATCCCAGCTGGCAAATCATGCATTGCTTGTATTCACAACTGTTGATCTGAGCTTGCCAAAAAAATCTGGCAAGCAGCAGTAGATGGATAGTTTTTATCTTTGTTCCTTACAAGAAGTTCCTTGCTCACAACTATAATTAAGAGTCTTGTTAGTTGACTAGGTTCATATTCACTGGAATAAAAATAAAATGTTTATGAGTTCTTTTGCACCACAAGTTAAATCGAATGGTCTCTGTATAAACTGATTTTAAATGTTTTAGCAAGTGCACATTATAATTTCCAGAAAGTTTTTTTTCTAGCAGAAATTTAGCTTCTGTAGTGACAAAAATTAAACTGCAAGCCATTTTAAACAAAATTTTTATTAGGAATAAAATAACAATTAAAAGAGATATTTGCTACCATATTGGGAAAAAGCATCAACTTTGACACTTTGTAAAATATATTTTAAAATCCATTTGCATTAACTAGACTTTGTTTAAGTAATTTTTTGAAGAGATGTATGTAAAAAAAATGTTTATGAAAGAGGGAAAAAAGCATAACTTTTCATAAATAAGTGTATTGGTATTTTCTATGTTCAGACACTTAAAAATACTTTGTCAATAGATTTTAAAGTAAACTGTTAAGTAATCTGAATTCACATATCCATTTATATGCCGTGCAATGGTTTATCTAGATGTTTCAATGGTAAGTCAAGCATATATGTTTACAATCCTTATGTTTCCATTTATACAATATCAATATGAAAAGATTTCAACAAGCTCTTACCCAAGATGGTGTGCTACTCCACCCCATGGGCAAATATCATAACGAGGCCAGGTTCTAGAATTAGTTCTTCAGGCATGTGCTGGTTCTCACAGTACATTACAACTACAGCTTGTTTACCTATGGGAGACAAACAGTACATAACTAGTTTGTTTGCCTAAGGGAGGCAAATACAGTACATAACAATTAGTTTGTTTACCTAAGGGAGACAAACAAAGTACATAATTATTACAGTTTGTTTACCTAAGGGAGGCAAACACAGTACATAACAACTAGTTTGTTTACCTAAGGGAGGCAAACACAGTACATAATATTACAGCTTATTAACTAAGGATGGCAAAAACAGTACATAACGAAAACAGCCTGTTCATCTAATAAGGTTTATAATAAGTTTTATAAAAAAGTTTAACTTCTAGTTGAAAAGACAGCCATTGCCTCTGTTACTGAAAAACTCACATAAATAAAATGGAGTGTACAACACTTGCTCACCTGGTATCCTCTTAGTGACATAATTCTCATACTGTCTACGGTTGAGCTGCCTAGTTTCTAACGTACTGAGTCCACTCGGCCAGCGCCGCTCATGAGCATTCTCCATCAGCTCGTTGACCACATGTGAGGGGCTGCCGCTCTCCATCAGGGCCCTCTTGATGACCGCCTGCAGCACAGCGTCTGGGGTGGAGATCATGCCACCCCACCTGGTCACGCGGGCTGGCTGTAGGCTGTTGACCCACCTGCAACAGTTACATCAAACATTCTACATAGAGGAACTTAAAGATAAGTTACTACATGAATCCAAATTGACTTTATAAATAAGTGATGAATATACACAAATTATGTGAGTGGTTATTGCTAGCCGCTATTTTCCTAACATCTCTATAATTGTTAAAGCGCTATAATTATACTTAATATTAACAATTTATGATCAGGATGAAAATTTGACATATATAAGCTTAAAGAGCTAAGTGAAACATTTTTGAAGTTGCTACTTGTATCAATATCTTTTATTCTATTTAGTCCTGAAAAAATGTACGAAATAATTTTAGAAGTATTGTACTAAAAGATGTTTAAATTGTTACGACAAACCACTATGTCGTCTACATTAACTGACTTGCATAAAATGTTTCATTGTGTTAATCTATTTGTATAACTAGATCAAGGCTCACTATCTTTGTATGGTCCTCATTTTCCACTATATCAACTGACTTACACTTGCATAAAACATTTGATTGTGTTAGTCTAGTAACATAAGTAAATCAAAGCTCACAATCCTTGTATGGCCCGCATTTTCCACTACATTAACTGACTTAAACTTGCATAAAATCTTTGATTGTGTTATTCTAGTAACATAACTTGATTAAATAACACTAACCTTGTAAGGTCCTCGTTTTCCATGGAGGTCTGAATATCACGGATCCTAGGGTTCATTATCCTCATGGCTCTTAATGCTTCCTAAATTGGAAAAGTTAATTTATTCACACCCTTTGGGAAAGAAATGTAATTTTCTATTCAAGCTAATAGGCTAAATCTTTCAAACATTATTGAAAAAAAAAAAGACTTCCAAGAAGTTTTCAATTTTTTTAAAATATTCAAAAACGCTTTTAAATTTGCAAAAAATTATTTACAAGCTTACTTTCTTAGACCCAATCTTAGGTAAGTTAGAATTGAAAATTTTAAGAATTAAAAAGTGAGGATGTAAAACTTGCATTTAAACTTTGTATTTCCCGCTTCTGATCTCTGAGCAGAATTTTTTGCTCCATACTTTCTGTCTGTATGTCTGTTAGCTTCTGCTGCATCTGCTGGATCAAGTTGCGCAACTCTTTTACACAGTTATGTTCCTGTAAGGAAAAAATGGTCATGAAAATTATAAAACAAAAAAAATTTTGAAATAGCATAAGTGGTTATTTTTGCATTCGAAAATCCTACAATGTCTTCAGCTTCAGAGTCGCAGTCTTAGTTTTAAAAATAATACTTTTGAATTTATTGTAAAATATTTATAGAACAATAAGTTATCCATATATAAATAGTACAAAATTATGTTTAAGTGAATTGACAAAAGAAATACAAGTTAAACAAAAAGAACTTAAATCAGTTTCAAACATGCCAGAAATTAAGTTAAAATTTCAAATTAGTGTACAGCATGTTCACCAAGCAAAAAAAAAAGTTAAAGAGTTTACCTTAATTTCATCTTTAGGTACAACTAAGCCACAGCCATTTTCACACTGAATTGGCTTTTTTGGATTGAATTCACATTCTTGGAGATGGTTAGGTAGGGCATCAAGCTTCATCACAACAGAGCAACCATAAGACTGGCATTACAAAAGAAAACATAGTAAACATCAGCTACCATAATGGATGTGTAACAAAAACAAAAAGTTGAGGCTTGTGTCAAATTAAGCTAAATTATATTTTTGTAAACACTAAAAGTGCATGATTGATAAATTAAGTTGAAAGGATTTCAAAATGAAACCAAATACACTAGCCTAAGAAAAGCACACAAAAGTATTTTGTAAAGAAGATAATGTTTACATAAATTTTAGAAAAATACAAATATACCAACTTTATTATCACAGCATATTGTCAAACGAGATAAAAGGTTCCTTAGAATTCTAGGAACACTTTTTAGCTGATTAGGTGTTATTGCGCTTCTGTCTACAGGGCACGTTGGTTGCCTTGTAAGCCATTCGTGTATACACGCAGAACAAAAGGCATGCTCACACTGTGGAGCCTGAATATGAATACAAAGTTTTTTTTATTAACACTCAATACATGGTGAATGCAATTCCAATTAAAGGCTATACAAAACAAAAGAATAAATATTTCTGATAATTAAGACAAAAAAATTCATATTTTGAAAATCTGTTTAATTTTGAATGTACCTGTAATGGCTCTTCCAAGACACAACTGCATATTGGACAAATTAACTCCTCATCAACATCCCCCTCAAATCGTCCTAGCTCATAACCCATACCTTCTGACTTTGCCTGAAAAATTTAATATTTATGTTGATTGCTAACAACCTAAGACCTAAGACTGTTCTATCAAGTTTACATAAAAGGAGATCTAAGTTATAAGTAGTAAGTAAGCCTAAAAAAACAAGTTGACAACACTACAAAATTCAAGATAAATTCAACAGCCACATAGGCCAGGCTATACACCTGTGATGTGCCTAACAAAACATTTACTAACAACTGCCACACAAAAAATATTAGGGGCCTATTAGACCTACTAAAAACATTTTTCATCAATCTCAATTAGACTTAAGTCTAGATCTATATTATCAATTAGATTTCTAGTCTGAGTTAAAAACACAAACTACCTAAATATACTATTCTAAATAACTGAAGTCTTGAAGTAATGAAGGAGTGAAGAGTCAGAAATTGAAAAGGAGTGAAGGAAGAGAAAATAAAATCAAATAAATTCTACATTGAACTTAACAAGTAGATCTAGTTACTACTTCTAAGTACTTAGAATTAGATATTCTAGAACACAATCAATTTCTTTTAAATCTATGGTTAAGTAGATCTAAATGTCAGGTAACTAGATCTAAATCTAGAATAGATTTTAGTGTTTTACCAACAAAAATGATAATTGACGAAATTGTTTGGATGGCAAAGTTATCGTCACTGGCTTTGACTGCGCATGTCCAAACACAGAAATCTTTTATAAGTTTCGAAAGAAATCTTAGAAATTATTTCTTAATATAAATACTAGAGGTCTAGTAGAGTGGGGAAAATGTGTGACATTAACAATAGGCTAACATGATTATCTTCACACACCATATTATTATTAACTAGATTGGTCTTTTTGACAGTGTCAAATGGAGGGTGAAACTGAGACATGTCATTAATAACTTGCTTGAATAGGTCTGTATTTCGATAACTTTACCCCTTATTACCCCACAAGTTTGTTCTTAAACTGGAGCTGGCAAAATGTGACGGGAGCTAAACTGTTTGCCCGTGCAGTTTTTTACTTTCTGGTATATACGAAGTATAGAGAAAGTCTTGTAATCGTGCAAAAAAAAAAAAATCGAGATTTTTACAAATCTCGACGTTTCACACCTCACTGATACGGAAAAACATAATTTTGCAATCTTGTCCGTATGTCTGTGTGTCTGTCTGTGTGTGTGTCTGTGTGTCTGTCTGTCTGTCCGTGTAAACACGATAACTTGAGTACCGTTACAGCTAGGTTGATGAAATTTCATATATAAGTATTTAATCAAAATCGTAGATCCGTATCAACTTTTGAGCGATTTCCGATAACCGGAAGTGGTACTTTTCCTACTTTGAATTTTTCAAAAGCCTATAACTAGAGTTCTATTTCAGATAGATAAATGAAATTTCATACGTAAGTAAAAGATCTAATTCTCTACCTTCTATTAAATTTTGAGTCATTTCCGTTGAACGGAAGTAGTACTTTACGCTACTTCCGATTTCTCAAAAAACTAATGTAAATTTTAAAAGTAATAATAATATTGCGCACTATTATGCGCTTTTTTTATTTAGCGTTCACTTGGTGTGCAATTAATTTGTCTACGAGATTTTATTCTATTTTTAAAACTTTAAGTATTTAAAATGGATTAAAAATCATGTCTATAGCCCGAGTTCCCATCCCCTGTTATTTTATATAAGAATATTCGAGAAAGTTTAGGGGAGATCACTCCCGGTTTATTTGTATTAGTGGCGGGGATAATCTTGAAAAGACCTCTCTTCCCCCCCCCCCCCCCCCCCACCACACACACACACCCATCGCCATGTCAAAATAGAAAATATATAATTTAGATAGAAATGATAAAGGCCTACTTTAACCAGTGTTACCCCCCCCCCCCCCCCCGGAAAAGAGAAGAATATGTCTGAAAAAAACACTGATGTAGAATCCTAATATCCATCAGGACAATTGGGGTCGGCGTGGTCGAGTCGGTAAAGCTCATGGTTGCTAAACCGAAAAGTCTCGAGTTCGAACCCTCGGGCAGATGAGGCTCGTTAGCTGGGGACAGCCACTCTTCTAGGAGAGACAACTCCAAAATTAAACAACTGCTGCCTTGTAGTTTGTTCTTGGTTGGACAAAGGCTATGGAAGCAAATCCAAAAAGAAAAGCAGACTGAAATCGGAGTCAATGGCCTCAATGGCGCATAACCAGTTGACACGTAACGCTTAATTGTGTTGGAGGCGTGGTCGAGTCGGCAAAAAGTTCATGGTTGATAAATTCGAACAAAGTCTCGAGTTCAAACCCACTGGCAGATAAATCTCGATCCCATTCAACACTAATAATTAAGAACGAAGAAGAAGAAAGAAGATCAGGACAATTTTTACAATTTTTTATAGACAAATCCTCTATTATCCTAACTAGACGTATGGACGATTATACTGTATTGATCGTTTGTGTTGTTATGTCCGCTGGAAAATGTAACCACTTTCTATGATGAGTTAACCGAACGTGAGATTTTAAAAAGAAACACAATAGCAACAAAGGCACGATATATTGATCTCCACAAAACTGAAGACCGCTCATGCAATGGAAACAATATTTCTTTCAAATTGGGAATTTTCGGATTACGCAGAAAGGGAACTCTTAAGGAGAGGGGGTAGGGTCCGATTGCATGATGGTACGTGATATTAAACATCAAAATAGTTGGGTAACAAGAAACACAAAATGCCATCTAAATACAAAAATGTAGCCTTAAATTATTATATGACTTATTTTGGTGGCAGTGTTTGTCTTTAATAAAACTTAACACAACTGGTAGTTAATTGGTGGAAATTTGTGTTCATAAAATTGGTTCCACTACTATAAGATTGTGTTAGCGATTGATGAAACAAAGAGGAGCGACGAATCAGATGCGGCCTTGTGATCTATTATAATGATTCGCACAGCTCGATCTAGAGTAGAGAAATATACTTTTAAAACTTATTAAAACTTATTTCTCAGCAGCCTGTTAGTATAGAAACTTTATTTATAGGCTACTTCTAAAACTTAAAAAACTATATTTCTCAACACATTAGATCAAACTAAAGCACCCTTTCGAGAGACTTACTTTCCATGGGGGAGGTGAAGTAGGCCTTGACTACACTTCACCTCTTTTTGTGACCTCGGCTTATGAATAGAAGGGTGTAAAAGAACTTTGCTGGACCCATGTTATATATAAATAAATTCACGCCCTCAGTAAATAACGCGCCCTCAGCTCATGCACATATTTAAAGCTATTTCGCTTTTAAAAAATGTTTTTTTTTTATTGTTTTTTTTTTTAAATAGTGCTGTTATTTTCAATTCAGTGAAAACAGTTGATTTTAAAAGGTTCTGTTGATAAGTACATTGACTGTACAATAGTTTATGTCTCATTTACGTCAATTTTAGGTTTTAAAGATACAATATTAAGTTGTACAAAAAAGAGTAGACTTCATTTTTTAAAAGCAAAATGTTCTTTTCATTTTATTCTACATCTAGATTTAGATTCAACATCTAGATCTAGATCTAAAAGTTCTAAAACATTAAAATCGTGTTTCTAGCCCAGATAATTTTTTAAGTTTAAAGACGTGCGGAGTCACAGCTGATAATTATGCACGGTCAAAGGTAACAAGGCCAAGGTTTATTTACAATAATAGTGGGATTGCTCTGTGTAAAAAAAAATACAAAGAGTGAACACGGCACGATTTTTGCCCGTGAAACTATAGTTTATAAACAAAAAGAAATTGTTTAGGTAAAATTCTCGTGTTTTTACTTGTATTATATTTTCTGATTCAGAGGTAATAGAGCGGCAGTTGCTTAAGCCTCGTTATTGGCGTTATGTTTTTATTATGTTCGAATTGACCTTATTAATTTTTCGCTCTCGTATGTTGTGTTTTCAGCTTTGTCACTTGTTGCTGCGATCCACTGTGGGACTGACATACATAAATCAGCTGGAGTGGAATCAAGTCTGACTTCTTTTTCCGTAGACCTTCAACACCACTCAGTTGACTTGTAGTACTCGATCTAGTCAGCTGTACTTGACAGCCTTAGCCTTAGCAACTATAATCTTCTTTCAAAAGACATCAATTTGTTTCTGTGAGTATCATAGACCTTAAATTATATTAATAAAAAAATAATTAAAATTAAGTAGTTAATAAGTAGCCTAATCAAAAGTGACACACATGAAATTAATGATGGACAGTAGTTATAGATATCAGAACCCTTTTACACTAGATCATCATCCAGACAGTGGTCTGACCTCAGTTTATGAAGTAGTGTAGTCAGTGTACTTCAGTGTAGGTCAGGTAGTCAGCACCATTCCCAACCTAATGGCTAAAGTACTAGTAAAATAAATGCAGCTTATTTTCTGTGTAGAGTTACAGCGTTGTCAAATGGTAGAGCATATTACTGACTGCTAACCTGAAAGTCTCGAGGTTGAATCCCGGATTCGTGTCAGTTCTGATGGGTACCTAACTGTCGATAGTTGGCTTGGCATAGGCATTATCGTATAGGCATAGTCACACCATAGTGCTGACCATACTATCCCTTCATATACTGAGATCCTAGAAACAGGTGAACTCTACTTCACCTGCCACATCAGGTTTGAAATGGTATTTTACCATTTTCTGTGAAATCCTACTGTTAAAGTATAATCTTTGTAATTAGCTTCTCTGCAATCTAATGCTATACAGTGTACAGCGTGGTAGCGTTTTGTGGAATGTTGCTGCTGTTGGGCCATGCCAATAGATCAATATTTGTTGTAGTAGAAGTCTTAAAGTTGATACTAGCTTGATAATGTATTGCCATTTTGAACTTTCTTAAAAAAAAATCCCATACTCATCCATAGTGTGGTACCTATCAGTATCACTAATTATGAAACTTTGAACCCTAACACATTAACACAAATTAGGAGTTTGGTATGGTCTAGTGGGTAAAGCTCAGTGCAGCTAAACATAGTATCTAGTTCAACCTCCCCCCCCCCCAGCAGATGAGGCTTGATAGCTGATGACAGCAACTCTTGTAGGAGAGAACTCCAAAATAAAAAAAAATGCTGCCTTGTAGATTGTTCTTTGATGGACAAAGGCTACAGAAACATATCCAAAAAGAAAAGCTAGCTGAGATCTGAGTCAATGGTCTATATTGCTTTTATCAAGTTGACGCATAATACTTATTGTTGGAGGGAATTCTCTTCCTACACTGTAGTGATTAAGAAGGAAGAAGAAGAAACAAATAATTTCCGTATATTTTGCCGTCAGGGATTATATTGTTTGTATTGTTACCAAGCCTACTAATTTGACGAAGTGTGTCTTGTAATAAAGGCTATTATTCCAAAATGATGTTGGTATTACTCAACTAATCTTAATCCTGATATAAGATGTTAAACTACTAAAATTAAATTTAGTTAGCGTTTTAAAAAAGCTAGCCCATGTCATAGTTTATAGCAGTAACCTCCGAAACTTTTCTTTGGAATTTCATTGGGAGCAAGTCCATATTCCAACATTTGAGTCTTGATGATGCATGTTGCTGTAGTTAGTAGGCTGTAACCCATCACGTCTACACATCACTCAGCTGTTTCAGTCCATGAAGGCTAGGTTTGGGGTTGTAAGCCTAACCCCAAAATCTATCTAAACTGATATTTTCTGTGTTTTAACAAGTTCAAAAAGGTCCTTAGCTAAACTAACAAGTGATTGGCTACAAATTTCTTGTCCAGAATCTTGCATTGTGAGCAGCCCAAATGTCATTGATTGGCTGTTTGAGTGAATGTTGTATAAAATATTGTGTGCTGGTTTGTTTACCCGTTAATTATAATTCATTAACCATGTATGACTTACATGTAATTATTGCCTTTTTTAAAACTTATGGATAGATGAGGTCAAAGACTCAAATCTGAATTTAGATGTGTTTTTTTTTAAATATGTATCCTGTACATATTATCTCCATTTGAAAAATGGTTCATTTTCATCATCGATTGGCATACTCCAGTGTAAAAGACCCATACTTGTAGCTCTTGTTTTGAATTTGTAGAAGCTAAACTTTAGTTTTCAACGTCAGGTAATTTTTTTTTTTTAGAATTCTTGTCTGGCAATCTGTTCCCTACAAAAATTTCAGTTAAAACTAAATTAGTTGGGACAAAAATATCAACTAAAATTTCAGTTAAAACTAAATTGGTTGGGACAAAAATATCAACTAAAATTTCAGTTAAAACTAAATTGGTTGGGACAAAAATATCAACTAAAATTTCAGTTAAAACTAAATTGGTTGGGACAAAAATATCAACTAAAATTTCAGTTAAAACTAAATTGGTTGGGACAAAAATATCAACTAAAATTTCAGTTAAAACTAAATTGGTTGGGACAAAAATATCTACAAAAATTTCAGTTAAAACTAAATTGGTTGGGACAAAAATATCAACTAAAATTTCAGTTAAAACTAAATTGGTTGGGACAAAAAATATCAACTAAAATTTCAGTTAAAACTAAATTGTTTGGGGCAAAAAATATCAACTACAATTTTAGCCTGCATGCATTTGGTCTGTGCAGCACAAAGTTCTTAATTTCAACTCCATACCAACACATGTACTCTTGTCAAAATCACAGATGTATTGATTTCGCTAATCAATAGCATGAAGTATTGATCTTTCACCTAAGCTGTTAAAATCTTATTTAATGATCAAGATATTTTTTTTGTTTTTTCTCTTCTATTGATTCATGAGCTTTATTCTAAGTGTAAAGACTTTTGTTACCAGAGTTTCTTCCAGGCATCTCTTCGGGGGGGGGGGGGGGGGGGGGGGGGGGGGGGGGGGGGAAAGCCCCCCGAAAATTTTTACCGCCCCCCGAACGAAATAAAATGTATATAATTTATATAGAAAATATATACTTTTAACAGTGTCCGCCCCCCCCCCCCCGAAGAAAGTCTACCGCCCCCCCCCCCCCCCCCCCCCGGAGAAAAAAGTCTGGATGAAACACTGTTTGTTACCATATGTAGCCTATTTTGGTCCTTCACACTGAAACTGACTCAATAGGGTATGTGGTGACACTATTCATCTAGACCTTTTTAAACCCGAGGCTGTAGAAAATCGATTTTTATATTCTTGAATCGATGACCAGTATAGACTTTTTATTGACAGACTGCGGTAGTTAGGGTTGCCTGTACATTCAGGGGCGCAGCCAGGGTCTGTGTTCGCTGTACCGTGTCATGTGAACTTTGAAAATCGTGACGTCGCAGGCAGCTCGTGCAGTCGTTCAACCGTGAAGTGTGCTACTTTTTTAACCGGGGGTCCTTCGTTACGTCTTGTGTCTTTCGCCAGAGGTCCTTTAAGTCTTACGTCTTGTGTCAGCAGATTTTAGTATGTTGAAATATTTTTAAAGTATTATCTGTCGTAAACTATCATTCAAATAACGCCACACTCCTCAGACTCCTGGGGGGCAGTGAGGTTTGGACGAATGAGGGGGTGGGATAAATATTTACAAAGTAAAGAATTGGCATAATTTAAGCCCGTCTAAGAAAATTGGTTAGATGGGTTGTTAGTTCATCCAAAAAGTAGACTAGTAGACCAACTAGGTGTATGCAGGGTAGTAAATCAACGCATGGTCAAGGTCAAGCGAACTCTTACACCGTGCGTGTTTTTGTTTACATGATGCCAAGTGGTGTTAATGTTATGCCTAGCTACACACCGCGACGTGTGCAAGGTTTCTGCCACCAGTTTCCTGTGTGTGTATGTGGGGTGAGGGGGGGGGGGGGGAAATAAGAGAGCACTTGAAACTTTTGGGATGGACAATTTTACTTTACACATTTAATTTGGATCTTGTCCAAATAAGCCCCGCCAACAGGTTACTTAACCACCCCAAAAAAAAATAATTAAAAATAGGATTTGAAACTTGTACTTTAAGGGTGAAATTGGGACGTGTCATTAATAATTTACATGAAAAGGTCTGTATTTTGGCACCGTAATTAATCTCAACCCTAAACCTAGAGGCGGATAGGTTGTTTTATGGCATGAGTTTAAATATTCACATCAGAACAGGTCACATGTGCGGGTCGATTGTAGGAAAAAAAGTCACAGGAAAAAAAAACACAGGAAAAAAAAACACAGAAAAAAAGTCACAGGAAAAAAAGTCACAGGAAAAAAAGTCACAGGAAAAAAAGTCACAGGAAAAAAAGTCACAAATATATATTTGCACGATATTTGTTGATACTTTTATGTATCAAATATTTAGAGAGTGCAAATTAACTTAGGATTAATTAAATGTAATGTAATGTGTGTAGGCTGTATACGCATAGGAATTGTTATAATTCATCTAAAAATATTTATTATGAAGTATATAGATTGTAATTATTTTAAACTTAAGATTAGTAGCATTTAATAGAATGCTCCAAAGTCCACGTTTTTCATCGTGTTTTTTTAAATACCAATATTAAATTACCGTGAAATGGTAAGTTCATCTGACTTGCTGCCCTCAACTCATGGCAACAATAGTTATGTTTAGTTCAACCACCTTTACTGCCCACATTTATCACGCTCATTACATAACAAAACTGAGGATCAAAACAGAAAGCCGACAAGGCTCAAAGGCTGTCATTGGCGCATAACGTCAACAGCACAAAATATGTTCGGACAATGCGTACTGAGGAGAGGCCGACCAGAGAATAGCCTACGGCAAAATGTGCCTAAATTTCTTTTATAATTAACTTTTCTACCGCGTATTTAACTAAATACGTAACAAAAGTTGAGATTGTTGTGTTAATTATCTTAGAGTATTTTTACTTACAATTGTTACAAATCATAATGCTTTTAACGTTTATAAATAATTTATGCTATAAAAAATACAACCCACAACAATAAACATACAAAATTTTACAATTCTCAACAAATTAATAAAAATATTTCTAAAAAGATTTTTGTGACTTTTTTCTGTGACTTTATTTCTGTGACTTTTTTTCCTAGCAAAAACTGTGACTTTTTTTCTGTGTTTTTTTTCCTGTGACTTTTTTTCCGTTTACCGTGCGGCTCAGAACAGGTCGCAAGTGGCGGGGCTTAACATTTTGCCGGTGCATTTTTTGCATTACTGGCGGGGTTTATCTAAACAAGCTCCTTT